CAACGAAAAACTAAACTTGATACTTGGAGCTCTTAGTTCAAGCTACATTTTCAGAGTCAGGAAGTTTCAAATGGCAAGAAACCCAGCTTCTCTTCACCATTGGCATCACGAGCAATGACCATTATCAGCCAGCAATGTTACTAGAGAAAATGCCAAAGGCGCTGGCGTGAACAGAAAGCTTTTCATGCAGCAACGTTTCCTTCTCAGCAAAAACAAATAAAAAGGAAAGGAACAAAAAAGGAGCAACACCAGGGATTTGTCCATACCCGGTAGGTGTGTAGTCCCTGGAAAGGCTCTCTCACAGATTCCAGTACAAAGGCCACGGACAAGTGTCCCACTGAGATGCGGTCGCTTGCCCGGACCGCTGGGACGCGGACACCTCCGAAGAGCAGCCTGTGACGTTTCTTTTTTTATGAAAGAAAATCCGCAAAAATAGATAAGCTTGTCCCTTTAGTCCTACCCTTCAAAAAATCGATGACGCAATGCATGCGCAGAGTGTAGGCCTGCGCCTTGCGTTCACTGACCTCCCTAAGGGCCGTTTCACACGAGGTATACATGGCTTTCACGAATGGGCGTTCTAGGCACAGTACACAGCGCGTGATGTCACACGAGTGTCGCAACCAGGGAGCCCTACACATACCGGGAGGTGACACGGGCACAGAAACTGTGCATGACGTTTGACTCATTCAAAAAAAAAAAAGTAGCTGAGAGTTCTCATCACACATCATATCAGTACAGATATTGATGAAAAGAGTTAATCGATGCTGAATATCGTTTGTGAGAGTCATCTTATCATATGCTGGCTTGCTGTGACACTTCAATATGGCCTTGAGTGGTCATTGACGCAAGTAGGATGGCGGCCAATGTTTCCCAGGCTCAGCTTTTGGGTAAAAGGTAAGAGTGTTTTGTGATGTCAAAATTTAGTGAAAATGACGATCGAATGAACATGTTTCCTGAAGTCTGACCAAGTTTGAACACTCTGAACGAGTATTTCCGGCGAAGATAAAGGCTGTCGCCACACACTAGCACAGCGATCTAACTAAACTCTGCTGAACGTCGTGGTGAAATCAGAGCCTAAAAACATTTTCAAGTTCGTACTTTTGTATAGCTGTAACAAGTGGATAGACTCTTTGGATTCGCTGTATCGTGCAAATATAAGTTAACCTAATTACTATAAGTCGGAAACAGGGACAATTCGTGTAGTTATTGCCTGTTTTCAGAATTTTTTGTGAATGCAACATTTGCACATATTGAAAATACATCATGTTAGCAAGCATATATTTCCACTCGGCAAAGACGTGGATTTATGAACTGTTGATTAATAGCATCTACATAACTTCTCGTTTTATCCCTAAAAAAATGGAAACGTTAGGAGGCAATTTTGATTGCCAAATTCATCTTCAAATGTCACTATTTTTGGGACGAGTAAAGCACCGCGGTTTTCAGTACAACTATACGAAACGAATGTATAGCTGCAGTGTGCCGAGCACCATACCTGGGTACTCAAACACCAAAGTTCTGTCTGTTCTCTTTCTGTTTATATGTCAATATAGGACCTCACGTGGTGATGCTGATCCGCCTTTGAAGCGAATTTTAAGAGAACATGAAGATACGAATAGCACAACAGGTACGATGGTCATGCTCCAGCATTGCTGTCCTGCATGCACGATGAAGTGGGGAGTAGTTCATATGTATGGGTGAATGGGTGAATTTTCTTCTTGCTTCTTGTTTCAGGAATTCAATCGAAAGAAGCTATTGTTGGTGACAACTCACGCAATCATTGCATCGAGGCTGAGCTGCACCCAGCATGTAACCCAATCACTTGGAAAAATGGTGACCCACCATGCTGTAGGGAACTTGTGCTGTACAGCATATTGCAGACCAGCTTCCCCACAAACTCGTTTAGAGCGCGGGACGCAGCATTGCTGGCCTTTGAACGTGCAGTGAACGGTGCAAATCGAATTTTGAATTGCAAGGATCAACTTTCTCCTTCACAGGTAACCTCTTACCTGAAGCGAGCTCCGACAAAGTCAACGAACTCCGGAAAGTATCGTGGGCGCGTCAGGTGGGCCAGGTTTAGTGACTTGGTTTCGAAAATCATTCAGGGGCATGGAGGGACTCTGCACCATGCGTTGAAGAATTGCATGATCGAAGCGGACAGGAGTGCGCTTCTTCGCGATATCGATTTAGCTTTAGCTTCGTGGGAATTTGCACCCAATCAGACTGCGGATCATAAGCCTTTTGGATTATCTGAAATCTCGGAGTTCTTTTATTCGCATGCCTCAACCTTTTCGCTCTGGCGGTTGGATAACGAGGGAAATGAAGGGTTGCATTTATTTTACTTTGGTGGAAGTCCCGCACATGCTGTACGTAGCATTAGAATCCTGCCTAACCTTTCCTTTTCAACATTCATGTATGGGATACAAGTGCCTTTGCAGCTTGATGTATCTGATAATGTAGTGTCATCAGCTGACCACTTTTCCAAACTTCTGCATATGTTGGCAACTGCCAGTGAATGCTCTGGGTGTTCTTACAATAAGTATGAGAAGGTAGTGGAGACGCGTCCTGAAGGTGGTATCTTCCGGGGTTCAGATGGTACGGTGGTAGCGAATCTTGAAGAAGCCTGGGTGCCACAACGCTGCATTCGAACTGTTGTCTGTCCCCACCTGATAGCTGCTGGGTCCAGGTGTGCAGCTTGTAAATTGTTTGACGGAACGCTGAGGAAAGCACTCTCTCGGCTTTCGGACACACCCGTTTCTCCGCACACTGCCTTTATACATTTGTCACGTGATGACTTAATTCTACGCCTGCGTTCTGAGGCTAAACGGTTTGAGGAACTCAGCCGAAACTTTCATCGGCTGCAGAAAATGAGGGACGAAATGATTTCGTCTGTGGATGATGGTTTTTCAGAGGTTTTTAAAAACCTTCAAGACGGTATGGACATCATACACGACAGAGTGCAAAACCCAATATGCATGTGGGAAGGCTGCAAAAGGCATTTTTCGGAAATAAAAGATCTTGTGCATCATTTGAAATTTGACCACGTTCGAAATAGTGCATTGCAATTGCACCCATCCTACACTTGTAAATGGAAAGATTGCAAATCCGGTCCTTTTCGGTCACGAAAGTTGTGTGAAACACACTTGCTTTTGCACACAGGTAAACCTGAAGATGCTTTCTTTAGCCTTTTGTTGGCTGACCAGGCACGTGCCCTCGTGACACCTAGTCATCAAATGCGCTGGCACCCATCAGTGCTTCGCTGGTGTATGCAGCAACATGCGCTGTCTGCTCAGTCGTACGAAAGTATGCGGGAGTCTGGGTTTTTGAAACTTCCGTCTGGCAGGACTATATTGAGGTACCGGAACTTCAACCAGCCTCAAAGCGGTTGGCATGAACATTCACTCAGAAATATGAGAGAGAGCTATGATGAGTTTCTTCGTCAGGGAAAAGGCAGACATGACCGAGCCTTTATGGGTGGACTTTACTTTGACGAAGTTAAGGTGAAAGAAGGCCTTGTATGGGACGAACGTTCTGATACCCTTGTAGGCTTCGTGGACAGTGGGTGTTATCCTGATAGTGAAGAGGGTGAAGTGGAAGACCTGTTAGCTACCCATGTTCTGCAGTTCTCCTTCAAGAGCCTCTTTTCTAAATTTTTCTTTCCATGCTGCTACTTCTTCACTAAGTCTATGAAGGGGTATCAACTGGAAGATGTAATTGATGCTGGTGTTTCAAGCCTTCACCGGTTTGGGTTTGATGTGCTTGTCCTTTGTTGTGACGGTGGTGGTAGCAATCGTGGTTTTTTGCGTAGCTTTCAGGATAGCTCCGGTGCATACTACAACAAGAAATCATTGCACCCTATATTCGTCATATCAGACCCTACACACATTGTAAAGAAGTTCCGAAACAACCTTTCGAAAAGTGGTCAAGGAGCGTCTTTCACGAGGCACCTGCAGGTTGAAGGGTATAGCATAGTGTGGAAGCAGATTAGGGAGGTGAACGAGAGGGATAGTCAGCGCCAAGTGGGTTTGACAAGAATCACAAAGGAACATGTAAACCTTTCTAGCTACAGCAAAATGCGTGCTGGGCTGGCATTTGATGTCTTCCAGCAGTGTGTCATTGATGAAATGCAGACCAGTGATCCTGCTGGAACGGTAGGAGTACGGAAGTACTTGGAAAACGTTAAAATGTTTGTGGATATCTTTTCTTCAAGCACCAAGTTGGTAGACCCATCAGACCCCCGCCTGGTCAAACTTGCATCCGTAAGCCAATGGCTGAATGATTGGAAAAGCAATGCGGGATCTTCTGGTGGCTCCAAATCTTTTGTTTCCCCTCAGTTACATGAGGATGTGACTTTTGCAGCCCAAGGCTTGCAGAGCCTTGTAGCATTCATTGCCACAGAGTTCCATAGCTTGGAACCACCTCTCTATGTGATACCGAAAACCATTAATCAAGACTTCCTTGAAGGGTATTTTGGACTCCAGAGGAGCATTGGCGGTTGCAATAGCAACATGACATGCAAAGCGTATGGGTACAATGGCCTGTGTCTCAATCAGACTCATGTCATGGGTAGAAACCTGGGTACGGGTGCAGCTCAAATGCCTCTCAAGCCTCATCATGCAAGGACGGTGGCAACTTCTAAGGATTCACACCAGAAACAGTAAGTGACTTGCGTGTGTACTTCAATATACACGGATATTAATTTTTTCACCAATTGAGGGAATGGAAAAGGGAAATTGATATTAATTTTAATATTTCATTTAGACTCGGATGGAGAGCCAATCATCAGCTATCACCTCTAGCACGTCAAGTTGGAAGGCTGTTGGATTGCGCACCCAAGACGTGCTAGAGCTGTTAGCCAGTTAGTTGTAGAACGTCGGTACCGTCGGTCAGTGTCGTGCAATGTTATCGCATTAGCTGATTGTCAAGTAAGTGGTGGTGTTAGTGGACATTATAGCCTAACTTGTAGTTCCTTGATCCTTTTTCTTTACTATAAATATTTCATTTGTAAAGGGAAAATGACCTGTAAGTTACTAGTTAGGACGAACAGACGAACACTCCACCATTTATTTCATTTGCTTGGCATTTAGATGTTTGGAGCTTAAAGAAAGGGTAGAGCAGGATTTTGGACTTTAATTTTTAACAAAAGGCTGTGAAAGGCAAAAGTAGAAATTTTGAGTGTCCATTAGATGAATACAGTATGTTTGTTTTTGGAAAACTTAAAAGTGTACCAAAAACGAATCGAAAATGACAATATCGACGCTGGAAAAGGAAGGCCTCCTTAGGCCTTAGCAAATAATTTACAATGCAAGCATGATGGAGGCGGTGCAGATAACAGGAAAAACTTGTAATCTATTCGAATCACTATTCATAAGGTTGAGGAAATATGAATGTTCAGTGGGAAAAATACTATAATTATGATACGATGTGATATGATGAAGCCCCCAGGGCAAAAAATTGGGGAGATATTTACGACGATTGCAGCATAACACCGTGGTGGTGAAGACGGAGATTGAGACATAAAATAAATACTACTTATCTGGTTCATTACTTTGGCTCGCAGTTCTCCTTTTCCAAGGAGGTTAGGTGGGAGGAAAATCTGCTGATCAGGTCAGCTTTCGTCCCTCCCACGGGCAAACCATTACTGCGCAATGCGTCTTTAAGTTGCTTCACAGTACCAGTTGTGAGGATGCTGGCAGAGTCAGGATTGGCTGTCTTGCTGGCAGCATTGCTCCCCGGCTTGACACTGGCACGTAGGGCCTGGGAGGATTTCCTTGGGGCCAAGTTGAATCTCCTCAGCATCTGCTTCTGTTTGCTTTTGACAAACATATCGATGATCGCCACCAACATTGATTTGTCATCAGTGTTGGTGAGCCTGTGGAACTGCTTGCAGATGCCTTGATCTGCAAGAAGGTTTGCTTTCAGGAGAGGCAGTGCAGTGCTGCGCTCTTTAGCCAGAAGAGCATGGAAACTCGACTCTGTTAACTCGTGCATTTGCTGGAACATTGCTAATGCATCTGACTTCAGCTTGAAGACGTGCTTCCCTTGGTTTTGCTTCTCTTCTGTGTGGTTGCATGCCTGCAGGAGTGGATCGTCTTCTATGTCATCAAACGATTCGAATACATCTGCTGCCAACACCGCTGACAAGCTTCTGGATGTTTCATCATTGACCGTCACAACTTCAGCAACCGCCACATCGTGTGTTACGCTTTCTTCGACCACCTCTTCTACCTCTGCAACATCCTCTTCTACAGACTCGGCTGGCTGCCCATTTCCGTGAAGAACTGAATCATCCTCACTCGTAAGTAGTTCTATCTTAGACACCCGGCAGCCCTGCGCCAGACGCACATCCACTCCAAATTGACTGAGTACCCGCAAGTTTTCTTGTTGTCCTTGCTTGTGCCATATCCTTTTCCGCACAGCTACAATGCACCATCCAGCATGGTATGCTATGGCTGCAGCCTCCGGTGCATCATGTCGTTGTGGCCGTTCTTTTGTGGTGATTTGCAGGGTTCCGGATTTCTGCAACTCCTGCCATATTGTTCGGACTAGCTCGTGGAATAGGGAAGATGACAATCGACCGGTAACTGCAGCATTCAAAGCAGAGAAGAATGGATAATTAGCCAAGTGCCGCATACTCTTGAAATTATAAATTACATAATAATATATTGTCAACTCTGCACAACTGCTGCATGTTCTGCTGGTGCCGTACCTTTGTTGTTGCCGATGTGTCTGTTAATTAAAATTCCGCATACTCTTGAAATTATAAATTAAATATATATTGTCAGCTCTGCACAACTGTTGCATGTTCCGCTGGTGCCGTAGCTTTGTTGTTGGCGATGTGTCTGTTAATTAATTCTACATGTTAGTGTGCAGTCAACCAGGGAGCCCTACACATACCGGTATGTGTAGGGCTCCCTGCAGTCAACCAATCTAGCTCTAGTATTAAATGAAGTTAATGCAGTTTCAATTTTATGCATTTGTGTTTGCTGTACGGCAATATCTAACTTATGCTTCCTGCTGCAATCTATTTCACGACACGTTTCAGTTGTAATTTGCTTATTTCCTTTCCACTCACGTGCTTGAAATATGTCGGCAACTACAATGTTTCGATCCAAGACACCGGTACGCGGTATGCTATAATAATACTTGTTTTTTCATTGTCTAGCGAATTTATTTCCTCTCTCTAGAAAATGAGGGCTACTGATGAGCTCCAGCCGAGAGCACCATCAATGATAATATTATTATAATGTACATGATTGTAGGATGTATAATGATGACTAATTACTTTCATTATACGAGTAGCAAGATATTGTTCGTGTGTAATTCTTACCTTTTTTATCATCTGGAAAATTCGCATCCTCTCTGCTGCAAAGAACCAATTTGCAAAATCTAGTAAACGATGGCTGCTTGTACATGGCTCTCAAGTGCTGACGTATTTCTGTTTGGGACCTTCCAAAGCAGTTGTTCAAGTCACTGGAGAACTCAATCAGGAATGACTGAGTTCCCCAGTACGTATGATCCCCGCCCTGCATGCATTTCTCAAGCAATGTGCAAATTGCACGCGCGGTGGTCGACTCCTGTGGCTGGTGGGCGACTAGAACTTCGTCCTCAGCAAGACCTGCATCCAAAATTCCGCAACATTGAATGGCGCTGCGTCGATATCATCCATTATCAACACAAACTCATTCAACAAATGAAAAACTATCATCACCAACCTCGAATCCACTTCACAAAGCGCTCTTTGTCCAAACAAAAGTCTTCCTTGCACACAAGAATGTCTTCGGCCACAACAAGGGGGCTAGGAAGATTCGACATTTCATCTCCCAGGACAGATCAAAGATGTATCAAAGATATAATATTATAGCACTTTACAATAATTCAATCCAATCGATCGATTCAAAATTTCAAATGAATACTGCACTAAAAATTCATGAAACCATCCTTGTTTTAGCCTTGTTTGCGGTTTCAAAAAAGTTCGATGGTTTTTTGAAAAACCACAGGGTTCACCCGTGAGGCAACCATCAAACAGGAGTTATGGTTCCGTGTCACCTCCCGGTATGTGTAGGGGTAGGGCTCCCTGGTGTAGGGCTCCCTGGTCGCAACGTGCTTTTCAAGCAGCAGTTGCCATGGCAGCTTTGACCTGCCTCGCACAGAAGTCGTAAAATACGGAATCCGCACGCGAACGCGGGAGTTTTGAACACAAAATAATAATAATTATTATTAGTTTGGCAAGGAGAGATGTTCTCTCCCTGATTCTCGTTTTCTTTGATCGCCACAAGGAGAGAAAGATGAACGGACGAGAGAGGTTGCAAAGGATGGCGAGGCGTAGAAGGACTGCATTGCCCTCGCCGGCCCACAACTCAATAAGTCTAGCCTCCAGGTCATCAGAGAATATTTGGCGAGGCATTGTCCGAAACGGAAGGCACAACCAGCAACCAGCAATGAAAGCAAAAAGAAGCAAAAAAAGCAAACACGACGACAGATCACAATGCAAGGAAAACGAAGTTTGTCAGTAGAACGCTGGGTATATCCTGCTTTCTACACCCCTCCTGGTCTTGCTGAAAACGTACACGATGCGTTTCACATTTAGCGCCAAAAGTGCTCCATCTCCTAGGGAACATAACCGGAAACGTGACATGTACGCGATTTTGTACCTCGTGTGAAACGGCCTAAGGCCGTCATCACACCACGTTCTCCGACTCCAGTTTACGTCTACGTCTATGGTGAAAAACCCAAAACGGATGGTCGTGTCATCAGACAAGCACAGTTCTTGACGCGTACACGCAGTCAGGTTTTTGGAGAAATTTGAACCCGCGTACATCGAAGTACAGGGTCGCTCGGAAAAAGGCTGGGGGAGATACGCACGTTCATACAAAAAGTCGTATACCCCCCCTCTCCATACCACGTCTACGTCTCCCGTTTCCTCTGCTCCCGTTTTCACCCCGTATACGGATCATCATGACAACCGACCAAAAACTCCTTACGTGGACGTAGACGCAGCGCTTTGTACCATGGTGTGATGACGGCCTTAGTAAGGCCGTCATCACACCACGTTCTCCGACTCCCGTTTACGTCTACGTCTATGGTGAAAGAACCAAAACGGGTGGTCGTGTCATCAGACAGGCACAGTTCTTGACGCGTACACGCAGTCAGGTTTTTGGAAAAATTTGAACCCACGTACATCGAAGTATATCTGACGCCTCCCCTGATTTTTGTTTATAACTTTATTCATTGACTGGGCGTTGTTTGCTTTGCTCTATCATAAAAGTAGTATTTTCTACACTAGTTTATTGTTTCCATTCTCGTCCACGTATCTGGGCGATACCGCACGTTTGGTTCGGCGAATTCAAGCAAAAATACACCTACCTACCTATAAGCAAGAGTAGATAAACAAGAGTGTGCAACTCCGGGATGGGTTGGCCCGCGGCGGAATTTTTTGTTGACGTAATCTTTTCGACGATGTACGCGCTGCGAGTCTTTTGGAAAGTTTTGCCTCGTGCACTTGGCCGGGCTTTACATTACAAAGTCGGTGCCCAGCACGTGCTCTCACACTGCTCTGGGGCAAAATGCGCGTTCTTCAGAAAAAATGTGACGTCAACAAAAAATTCCGCCGCGGGCGGGGGTATCTGCAGATTGTGCAGAAGAGATCCGGAGTTGCACACTCTTGTTTATCTACTCTTGCTATTAGTATAAGCAAGAGTAGATAAACAAGAGTGTGCAACTCCGGATCTCTCCTGCACAATCTGCAGATACCCCGCGCCCACGGCGGAATTTTTTGTTTACGTCACCTTTTTTCAGAGAAACGCGGATTCTGCCGCAGAGCAGTGTGAGAGCACGTGCTGGGCACCGACCTTGTAGTGTAAAGCCCAGCCAAGTGCACGAGGGAAAACTCTCCAAAAGGCTCGCAGCGCGTGCGTCGTCGAAAAGATTACGTCAACAAAAAATTCCGCCGTGGGCCAACCCATCCGCGAGTTGCACACTCTTGTTTATCTACTCTTGGTATAAGGGAAATAGTTGTGGTGATGACAGTTCCCCTTTAAGGCTTTAACAGAAGTTGAGGTTCGAAGGTCGGAAGGTCAACCTCCGCTGCTTACCGAAAATGTCGTCATTCGAGCACAATGAGCTGCTTGTGTCCGCGAAAAGAGAGATGGCTATTTGCCAGTACCTGAGTGATGATCACGTGTCGGGTCAGAAATTTGGAGATTGCCTAATCATGCGCATATCGGAGCCTGTGAGGCCGAGGCCGAGGGTCAAGCCAAGGTCACATCATAGCCGTTTCCATGGATTTTTCAAATTTTGAAAACGCAGCTTCGGCAGTGTCGGTGAAAGGAGTCGGTTGCCTTCGCGCAAGACTGCCGTTATAAACGGTTGGATATTAGAGAGGTTGCGCACAACGAAAATTCGTAGCGTCGTAACGAAATTTTTTACCGAAAGTAGTTAACGAATATTCGTAAACTGTGAGGTTGCGCACAACGTTACGTGTGAACTTTTTCGTGTCTGGTTTGCTCGCGTACCAAGAGTACATGACCCCATGACCCCGTGTTCTCATGATATGAAGGAGTTGAAGCGCTTGAAAGCTTCATCTCCAAACACTCCGACGAACTTACGAGTCGAAGGGGAGGACGTATTTTTTTGTTGTAGTCAAACTTACTTCGACTACAACATATCGCAATCGACTACTCACTACTTTTGAGTGTATGAGCTTTGCAAACAGCATTATCTGCACGAGTTGGGCATGGCTGAAGAGTTTGATCAGACGTTGGCAGTTTTGCTCTTTGCCTACGACAAAGGTCTACTGGGTAAGGATAAGCTGCTTTTCCTTATCCTTGCGTTGGAGGATGATTGCCAGTTGAACATCGAAAGGAGGAGACTCCCTCCACGTCTTTGCATACGATCTCTGCCAGATGACGCTTGCATGCTCCGATTTCGATTTGTCAAGGCGGAGTTACACGAATTGTGCGATGCTTTGCGTATGCCTCAGACTATGAGAGGCGTCAATAGGATCACGTGGACAGGGATGGATGGTCTACTGGTTGTGTTGAGGCGATTGGCATTTCCTTGCCGATTGGTAGATCTGGCTGAGGAGTTTGGGCGGTACGAAGAAGATATAAGTCGGATATTTAATACGACACTGCTATGGATATGGAACCGGTGGAGTCACGTGATCGAAAACCCTTTTGACCAAGGATGCCTCACCCCAGCTACATTGCGGTCCTACAGCGACGCTATCCAACGGAAAACTGGTGTAGATATGCTCATCTGGGGATTCATTGACGGTACAGTCCGCCCCATGTGCCGTCCCGGGCATAATCAGCGCATATTTTACAACGGGCACAAGCGCGTCCATGCATTAAAATTTCAAGCAGTGACCACACCGGATGGACTAATCACCCATCTATTTGGCCCTGTAGAAGGCCGCCGTCACGATGCAGGAGTCTTAGCGGAAAGCCATCTCCTGGTCGAGCTTCAGAACAACGTGCGCCTTCCCGATGGCCGGTGCTATGCACTGTACGGTGATCCAGCGTATCCTTTCAGCCAATTCATCCAGAAGGGGTATCTTGGTGGGAATGTAACTCCACAACAACGTGAGTTCAACACGGCCATGAATTCCGCGCGTCAAACGGTGGAGTGGGCATTTGGAGAAGTGAGCACCTACTGGGCGCTGATCAACAATTACAAGCAGCTGAAGCTTGGACTTCAGCCCATCGCTGTTTACTACAAAGTTGCTGCTTTGCTTTGCAATTGCAGAACTATCATTCGCCGAGGGAACAAGACGTCAGCGTACTTTGAACTGCAACCACCTGAACTCGTGCAATATCTACGGTGAACAGAACTTTCACAATTTATTTCGGAGTTTCATGTATAAAACAAACCTTACAGTATCAGGTGGTCCGTTGTGAGGAGAGCCGCACCATACTCTAACATCTCGAAGCGCTGCAACCTGTGTCTGGCCGAGAAGCTAGAGATAGCCTGGGCCGACAAGACCCGCTCCCTCAACAAGAGGTCAGAGCTTGTGTCCAAGTGTCGTCATTAAAACAAGTTCTACCTCTGTAACTTTGCCCGCAAGGTCAAGTGAATCTAGCTGGTAGTCCCGCTGCCTAGTGTGTGTGTGTGTGTGTGTGTGTGTGTGTGTGTGTGTGTGTGTGTGTGTGTGTGTGTGTGTGTGTGTGTGTGTGTGAGTGTGCACGTGCATGTTTGAGTGTGTGTGTGTGTGTGTTTGTGTGCATGCGTGAGAAAGAGAGTGCGTGTGGGTGATTGGATAAGTGCAGGTGCAAATATGTGTGCGGTAGGTGTGAGAATGAAAGGATGAGTATTGTGGCCGTGTGTGTGTGTGTGTGTGTGTGTGTGTGTGTATATATGTGTGTGTGTGTGTGTGTGTGTGAGAGAGAGAGAGAGAGAGAGAGAGAATGTTTGTGTGAGATTTGGAGAATGTGTGTGTGTATAGGTAAGATTTAGAGAATGTGTGTGTGAGATTTGGAGAATGTGTGTGTGTGTGTGTG